CAGGGTTCTAGGTTCAGGATACAAGGTTCTCCCATCGGTTTTGGTTCACGGCCTCGGGAATTGGAGAAACTCCTCCTCAACCCCTAAACCCTAAACCCTAAACCCTAAACCCTAAACAATAAACCCCTAAACCCCTAAACCCTAAACCCCTAAACCGCCAAACCCTAAACCCCAAAACCCTAAACCCCACAACCCTAAACCCCCAAACCCTAAACCAGAAACCCCTAAACCCCCAAACCCCCAAACCCCGAAAAACCTAAAACCCTAAACCCTAAACCCCTAAACCCCTAAACCCCTAAACCCCTAAACCCCCAAACCCCTCAACCCCGAAAAACTAAAACCCTAAACCCCAAACCCCTAAACCCCTAAACCCCTCAACCCCTAAACCCCTAAACCCCTAAACCCCCGAAAAGCCAAGTCCTTGTAGTGTTCGAGCCCAGGGCGCATGGTGCCAAGGAGCTGCAGAGCCAGCTGCCACTCGGTTCCTTCTTCTTTGGCTCTTTGTGGACACCCTTAGGGTTTAGGGTTTAGGGTTTAGGGTTTAGGGTTTAGGGTTTAGGGTTTAGGGTTTAGGGTTGAGGGTTTGGGGTTTAGGGTCGAGGGCACATTTAAGGTTTCGGGTTTGGGGCTTAGGGTTTCAGGTAACTACATGTGGGGCTTAGTGTCGAGGGTTCCGAGGGTTTCTGGTTATTTTCTTCGTGGGGCAACCTGACCTCTGAACTTCAAACATCCCCGTTACCTCCGCAAGCTCGGCAGACCTTGTGCCACGGGTGTTGTGGGGTTTGGAGTTTAGGATTGGACAAAACCTGAAACCTGAAAACCCCAAAAAGGACAAAACCCCTACATAGATCCTGAACCTGATGCACTAAGCCCTGGCCCTAGACTTTTGAACGGTTTAGGGTTTACCCTTCACCCCGCAACCCGAATTTAGAGGCAGAGGGCTGGAATCAAAACGCTAAGAAGCGAACACACCTGTTGGATCCAGGATCCTTAATAACCGTCCCTGCTTAAGGGCCAATATAAAGCCCATACAATATGTAGAATCTTAGGCCACGCACAAACAAAGCCAGATCAGCTGTATAAAGTTAAATCTAGCTCATAGTCCCTCTTGGAGTCAAGCATGGGATGGCAATCATCAGGATTTCGGGTTTGAAGGATTGGCGTTTGAGGTCTTGGAATCTCGCATGCAAAACTGGCGCAAGCTGGTTGAACTTAATGCCCAGATGCCCTCATCTGCCTGTTGGGCAGAGCAGCCCACCGTGGCTCTTCTTTGGTTTTGTCAGATTCTGTATCGGGTTGTATTCGACTTGTTGTGAAGTGTCCTTCTGGGGGGAATATGGAGAAAACAATCTTATGTTTTCTGCATCAATAAATTCATCTCCAACAAGCGTAGCCGGGAGATGCCATGGTGAAAACCCTCCCACGTGCCTTGGACGCAAGCACTGATGCAGGCCTCGGGTCAAAGCTTTGGGCTCCGGGGCTTCATGTCCGATTTGCTGTTTCAGCTTTCATTCAGGGTGTAGGTAATTTTTGCAGGCAAGGTTTAGCCTACCGTTGGCCGCTGGCGCGAGGTGCCAAATCCTAAAACCTAGAGCAAGTTGGGGCCCGCTAGGGTTTAAGGGTGCGGGTTACCCCGCAAGCCCTGCATACAGGGTTCAGGGTTTAGGGAGGTTAGGGTTTAGGGGTTATCTCGAACTGGGTAGCTCTCTAAACTAGGGTCCCATTTTAAGTCCCAAATATAGTACGGCACCCGTATAAAAGGGACCCTAAAACAGACCCTAGTTTAGAGAACTACCCAACTACTGAAACTCCACTCTACCAATCGCTGCTGACGGTAACAGCCGGGTACCGAGGCTGATGCAGGATTTTGTGCCGCAGCAAGAGAACATGCCCTAAACGCTAAACCCTAAACCCTTATTTCACCCGAGGGGCATTGCAGCTCACCACATCCCTGCAGCCAGATGCTGCAAGTTCGGAAAGCAGGAAGACCGCCCTTTGCCACTGTCCGCCCTTTTCCAGAGCACTTATTCCCGCGCTGTAACCTGGGGCTGCAGGAGCAACGGGTATTGGGGTTTAGGGTTTAGGGTTTAGGGTTTAGGGTACTTCGTAGATACCAGGTTGGTACAAGCTTTGCCGGGTTTGGTGGGTAGGGACCTTACAGTAGGTCTTCTAAAGCGTGGTGCTTAGCGCTCGAGGGTCTTTCTCCTAAGCCCGAGACTTTCCTCTAAACACCAAGTTTTCCGGGCAGTGTTTAGGGAGTTGTTTGCTTTTTCACAAGGCAGCAAAGGGCCAGAACGGCCACGGCCACACCACAACCGACCGTCAGACGCCCTTCGACTCTCGTCAGACACAACCCACAAAAACGTGAAACGCCTCTGTGAAATGCACGTCGGCTTCATGTCTTAAGCCTTAGCCTGTGCGATATGATAGCACAGAAACACTGTTGTGGTACGTAGCATGTTTGCTGCGTGAGAAGATCCGGGTACTGAAATGCAATGGCCTCGTACTCTCGACTGGCCCGGCATGTACTGCAAAATGCAGTTTGCAGCCGGCATAAAGCTGCTATTGTAACATTCAGCCCGTGCGCGACAAACGGCAAGAACCGAACCCGAGTGCACGGAAGAAAGGAGCCACGGCTGTTTAAGCAGTGTTGCCCTCGCTGGATCTTGCAAGGACAACTTGGTATACAGTCATGGTTGAGCTGACGTGAGACTTCCTGCGCGTGCTGATGCAAAATGCTTATTTGAGCTTAGCCAGCTCGCTGGGTCCTCGCAGCGTCTCGGCTGGGGCGTGACGGGCCTTGTCGAAGCCATTCTGAGTCATGTTCTGTAATGCTTCATTTCAGGACTGGCACACCATGCTCAGGACTTCCTCTGCATGGGCCACCGTCACCTCCTCCCCCGAGGTGATCCGATCCGATGCATCAGGATCTGCTCGACAATGAGCTCTAGCGGAGACGGTACGCTCATCAAGCAGCCCGTGGGCTTGCGCCTGGCCTTCTTGCAATCCCGGGCCTTGCCGGCACGAAGACCCATGCTTTCAAGCACATGGGCGGGTACTTCACGTAGATTTCGTTGTGGATGGTGGATCGCTGCATCCGGGCTTTCAAGCCGAGTGGGCCAGAGGCTCATGGGCCGCTGGGCCTGGGAGAACAACGGGGCCAGCAGATCGATTTGGCAAGACATGCCTTGGTCGATAGGCCAGTACAAGGAGTGAGAGACAAGGTCAATCAACTCAGTGTTGAATTCCTTGGGAAAAGCATTGTGAGCCTTGGCCCCGATGAAAGCCATGCTTGTCACGCAGGCGCACGATGGCAGGTTAAGGCTGAGGCGTAGATGCCCATGATTTGGTGACATCGGCCCACCGGGTCAGGGCTGGCTGAACATGCAGCATCAACTGCACAGCAAAGGCATCAACCAACTTGTGTGTGTGTGTGTATGTACATATATATATATATGCGTATATATATATATATATATGTATACGTGCAGCCTTTCACGGGCATAGACAAGCATGTCGCGAATTGGCTAAGCTGACCACCTTCAATGTGAGATCACTTGCGCTTTAGATGAATGCAGTGTAGTTCTTAATTTATGGCCTTGGCTGAGCGTTTTGCTGGGGGATTACCCTAAGCCCCAAAATCCTGAACCCTACTAAACCCCAACACCCCCAAACCCCTAAACCTAAACCCTAAGCCCGAAGAACCCTCTCACGGAACCCCAAAGAACCCCTTTAAACGCGGATTCACAGGCCGAGAAGCTTATCTTGGAAGGTCGAACTCTTGCCAAGAGCATGTCTGAGAAGAGCTGGAGAGCCACTCGCCATTTCCCACTCTTCCTGGGATCTAAACCCTAAACCCTAAACCCTAAACCCTAAACCCTCAGCCCTAAACCCAAACCCAATGCCCCCTTGACTTAACTGATCCTCCTCTAAGGCTTCCTATAAGGGTCCTGCTATTGATCCTTTGGGGGTTCCGATGAGGGTTCCTATTTATTTAAGGGTCGTTTCAAGGTTCCTGTTAGGGTCCTTTTAGGGATCCTTTAAGGGTTCCTTTGAGGGTTCCTTGAAGGGTTCCTTCAAGGGTTTCTTTCAGGGGGTGCCGTGCGCGCTCCTTGAAGGGTCGTAAAAGGGCTTGATTGAGGGTTCTATAAAAGTTTAGGGGTTTAGGTTGTAGGCTGTCAACAAGCAACTCCGCTTGCAATTGGAAAGGTTCTGAACTGATGTACTTATACACCTCAGTGACATGGCCGGTGAAGCTTCAATCAGCAACAGCCGCTCAGAAAGGAGCCATGCCTGAAAATCAAGAATAACAGAGGCCCTAAACCCTGAACCCTAAACCCTACACGGCATACCCCAAACCCTAGACCCCCCCCGAACCCTACACGGCCTAGCTTCTCGCATGCGCTGATGCTGGCGTTGAAGCTGACCTCATTGGGTAGGATCCGGGCCGCTGGCATGTCGGACCTAAGCCGTGGGTCGTGTCTTGGGCTTATAAGTGGGGTTTCTGAAAATAGAGGACCCTAATATAGTACCCTAAATAATAGGACCCTTATTATAAGGACCCCAAGGCTTATACTTAGAGGCCCAGGGGACTTAGTAAGTCGGTTATAAGTAGGGTTACAATTGGGGTAACTCCATTTAGGATACTTATAACTCTACTTATAACCTACTTACTAAGTCCCCTGGGCCTCCAAGTAACTGACAGCTGGATTGGCTTCCGGGTTTCATTACGGCTTGGGCATCTTGAAGATTCAGAGGGTTTAGGGTTCAGGGATTAAGGTGTAGGGATTCAGATGCTTCCAAAAATGCGGTGCGGCGGCAGCAAACGCAATGCAATCTGCCACTGCGACGCCCTTGCACAAGCGCTGATGCCAGCGCTGTAGCTGATCACTGTGGGGAGGATCCGTGCTGGGTGGATCCCAGCTAAGAGACTGAGGGCCGCTTCCCACTGCCCTCCTTTCTCGCAGGCGCTGATACCAGCATTTAGTGTGATGATGTTGGGCGTGAGACCAGCAGCGGGCATTTCGGACAGGAGGTGTAGAGCTCTTGACCACTGCTCACCCTTCTCCAGCGCACTGATGCAGCTGCTGAAGCTGATGACGTCTGGCTGCGATTCCTTACTTTCCTAGTAGCAAACTGGAGGGGGGAAAACTATCGGGATGCTGTACCCAATTCCGCGCTTGCTCCCGAAAGACACAGAAGCATGATACGATGCTCTTACTATCCTCATCAGGCTACAGCACAACGACAACGAAAGAAAACATAGCTTAAGGTTGTAGCATAACCCTATGCTTCCAAGGGCCTTATAGTTGGTGCCCTAGACCCCTTAAGGACCCAATGATAAGGTCCCTGGAAGCATAGGGTAAGAAACCTCAAGAACACCAACAACCGCAAAACCCTAAACCCAAAACCCTGAACCCTAAACCCAAAACCCTAAACCCTAAACCCAAAACCCTAAAGGAGATTCCACCAATTGCCGGGCGAAGAGTCTTCAGTTGCCATGTCTGCAAGCAGCTGCAGTGCTGTCTGCCAGCAGCCTTCCACCTCGCCGCACAGCGAAAACCCTAAAAACACGCTTTAGGGTTTAGGGTTTAGGGTTTGGGGTTTAGGGTTTGGGGTTTAGGGTTTGGGGTTTAGGGTTTGGGGTTGAGGGTTTATGGGTTTGAGCTTTAAGGTTGAGCTTTCAGCAGCTTGCATACAAGGCCTGCGCGGTGTAGGACTTTAGGTCTTTAGGGTTCAGGGCTCTCGAGTTTTCGACTTGAAACCCTAGAACCCTAAACCCCAAGCCCTATAAACCCTAAACCCTAAGCCCTAAACCCTAAGCCCTAAACCCTAAACCCTAAACTCTAAACCCTAAACCCTAAGCAATAAGCAATAAGCCCTAAACCCTAGCCCCTAGTCCCCTAGCCCACAATCCCAAGAACCCGAAAGCTTCGAGCCGGATGCCACCTCGCACGCGCTGAGCGCCGCGTTGAAGCTCACCGTGTTGGCCTCGATGCTGAGCATCTCCATCTCGGACCTCGGAGTGTGTCGAAGTTAAAGGAAGCTACAGGTGGCGAGTTTAGGGTATAGGGTTTAGGGCTTCTATAAGGCTTCTATAAGGTATATAGACCTGCTACGAAGCTCCTATCCTAGACGAAGTGCAGGATTTAGAAGGGCTTATGGTTTGGGTCTAGGGCTTAGGGCTGATATTAGGGGGTTTAGGGTTCAGGGTTTAGGGCTTATATTAGGGGGGTTTCGGGTTCAGGGCTTCGGGCTTATATTATGGTAACCGGTAGAGTTTTACTGTTTCGGGCTTCTGCCACTAAACTCAAAATTTCTGCGCGCTGAACCCTAACATGTAACAACCCTAAACCCTCAGCCCTACGGCCCTGAGACCTAGAACCCTAAACCCTAAACCCTGAACTCTAAACCCTTACGTAACCCGGTCACCGCAAAACAGCTTCCCAATTGCGTCACAAGCCGCAGGAGCCGCAGGGCCTGAGGCCACCCAGCATCCTCTGCACAAAAGCCCCATGAATCCTGGACCCCCAAGGGAACCCCAAGGCCTCACGGGGTTTAGGGCTTAAGGGCTTGAGGGTTTAGGCTTTAGGGTTTAGGGTTTAGGTTGTAGGGTTTAGGGTCTAGGTTTTAGGGTCTAGGTTTTACTTTAGGTCCATAGGGTTTAGGGCCCTGCGCCCTAAACCCTAAACCACTGGTCCTCTCCGCAGGATTGCAAGCCGCCGTTGTAGGCCACGACGTTCAGGCGGCAAGTCGCCCAGGAGGCCTCGGAAAGCACCTCACGGGCCACCTGCAGCCGTGAGCCCGAGGGTTGAGGGCTTTTACAGCTTAGGGTTTAGGGTTTAGGGTTCAGGGTTTGGGGCTTTTGGCTTTGAGGCTTGAGGGCTTCGGGTTTTTAGAGTTTCGGGTTTACAGGTTTTTGGGTTTTTGGGTTTAGGGTTCAGGGTTTAGGGCTTTTGGCTTTTAGGGTTTAGGGTCTAGGGTTTTTAGAGTTTCGGGTTTATGGGGTTTAGTGTTTAGCGTTTAGGGATTCAGGGGTTTAGGGTTCTTAGAGTTTAGGCTTCGAGGTTTCAGCTTTAAGTTCTTTTAGGTTAAAGGGCTTGTGGTTTGAGGTTTGGGTTTGGGTGTAGGGTGGAGTCTTAAGTGAAGCAAAATGGAGCCGCCACACCCAAAACCCTCTAAACCCTCGAAACCCTCTAAACCCTGATTCCTAAACCTCAAACCCCCAATCCCAAACCCTAAACCCGATGCCTGCCTCCCAGAGGGCCCTAGAGGCCCGGACCGCGGCAACATACGTCGGCGGCCCGGGCACAACCCGCCGGTGGCGAAGGCCCGAAAGAAGGCCTCGAAGAGTTTAGGGTTTAGGGTTTGGGGTTTGGGGTTTAGGGTTTAGGGTTTAGGGTTTAGGGTTTAGGGTTTAGGGTTTAGGGGTTAGCGTGGAGGGGTTAGGGTTTAGGGGTTTAGGGTTTGGGGTTTGGGCTGGGCATTTTTGTTGTTGAACTCCTTTTTGCAGCCTGAGAGCCATATCCCCAGACAGCAGGTCTTGCGACCGGGAGTGTGAGCTCCCTCCAGGATACCCACGAAAACACACCCTCTCACACGACACCCCACCATCAACCGGCCCTAAACCCAAAACCCTAAACCCAAAACCCTAAACCCGAAACCCTAAACCCAAAACCCTAAACCCGAAACCCTAAACAACCCTGGGTATCCACAACCAGCAGCCGGCCAACACTTTTTCGCCACAGCCGTGCTCAGTTTAGAGTTTTGGCACAAATCCACCCCAAAAGAACCCCCAAGCCATAAACCCCTCATGTAGAGGCCTTCATGAAACACTAAGCAATAAATTCGGAAATTAGTCGGGCTTCCATAGTTTCCCCACCCCCCCACCCCCTGAAAGATCTAAGCAGTGACGAAGGCTGGGTATCAGCCGAAACCCTACTGCTTGTCCGTCAGCCCTGCAAGCCTTTCTCCTGTAAGAAACCGAACCGATGCATTTACACTGAAACCTTTTGGAATCAGGAATAGTTACCAATATTATTCTTTGAGGCTCCTTCCTATCTTTTTACAAAAAAAGGGAGCCCAAAACTCTGTTCCACTACTTCAGGGGTTCGCTCCATTAACCCTAAACCCTAAACCTTAAACCCTAAACCATTAAGGGATTCGCTCCATTAGGCTCCCACACTCATCGACAAGGCCGAAGGCGAATAAACGCACCGAGGAACCAACGACTCCAGACCAGTGCTGTCCCTCTGCGAAGGCCGTCGCCCCTGAAGCAGCAGCCGAAGGCTAAACCCTAAACCCTAAACCACCCTAAACCCTAAGCCCTAAACCCTAGGCCCTAAACCCTAAACCCTAAACCCTAAACCGTTAGTTTGCTTTTGAGTTCGAGGGTTTTGGATTCTAAGGGCTTCAGACATGGGATTTACTGACTCGGAGGGCTCAAACGCCACGGCAAAGAAATCCGAAGCTACCCAGTGGTAAACACTTTTAGGGTTTAGGGTTTAGGGCCGTCGCACAGCACCTCTTTTGCGTTTGCATTCCTCTGTCTCCAGCGTTTAGGTTTTAGGGTTCAGGGGGCCCTCAACACTTCTTCCCCGACACACAAGAAGTCATCCTTCATATGGGGAGTTCTCTCTGGTAGGTCGCCTGTTGGGGGCCCCGAAATAGTACGGCACCCTGTTGAAAAGGACCCTAATGACCCTAGAAGGGGCCCTAACTTAGAGAACCACAATATGGCTGGCTGGCTACAGGCTTCTAGAGGCTTGTAGCTTGACTTGGAGAGTTAAGAAACCCCTGCAGAACCCTTAACCCTGAACCCTAAACAATAAACACCCAGAACCCTAAACCCTCATCCCCTGAACCCTAAACCCCCAGAACCCTAAACCCTAATCCCTGAACCCTAAACCCCAAAACCCTTTCTGAAGAAACCGTGAGGGCCTTCGGGTTTACGGTTTAGGGTCGAGGGTTGCTTTAAGAAGCCCTGAAGCCTTTGTTGAAGAAAATCTACGCCCCCTCCTCTAAGAAACCCTAAAGCCGTTCTTTGAGGTTTTAGGGTTTTAGGGTTTAGGGTTTAGGGTTCAAGGCTCTTGACAAACCCTAAGCCCCTTCTTTGCGAAACCCGAAAGCCCTGAATTGGGGCCGCCGAGCTGCCGGCATTCCAGCTGATCACGTTCGGATCCACACCGAAGGCGGACATCTGCCAGAGCAGCTCGATGCCGGCGTCCCACCTGGCGAACAAGGATTGAGGGCTTTTATAGGCTTACGGCTAGGATGCCAGCATGCCGCCTGGCAAACAAGGGCTTCACCTGGATTAAAATGCAGAGAAAGCCAGAGAGTCTTCAAAACGCATAAAAAACGTCGATGCTGCCTCTGCCGCAGTGTAGCTATGCTCGTGTTGAAGGTCACCACAGAAGCTTGCAAATGTTGACGTCTCCTGGGCACGCTGTGTCTTCATAGTGAAAAGAAGACCGTGAAATAAATGAACGCAACAACATCTAGGCGGCTCAAAATACTAACAACAAGACCGAGATTTCAGAAAAAGTCAAGTTCCAAGCATTCGAAACAAAGGTCCCGAAGGGGCATTTGGGGTTTACCTCTGGCCCCAAAGACTATATATAGAAACCACAACAAGGAACCCTACAAAGGCAAGTCTCTTCGGCTGCAGGTAGAGTTTAGCGGCCCAAAACCCTAAACCCTAAACCCCAAACCCTAAACCCTAAACCCCAAACCCTAAACCCCAAACCCTAAACCCTAAACCCCAAACCCTTCTCCTAAACCCTAAACCCTTTCAGGCTTGGCGGTTTGGGGCTCAAGGCCCCAACACCTCCGACGCCCGCAGTCCCCTGGACACACGACCTAAACCCTGATGATATATACCGACGGTTTAGGGTTTAGGGTTTAGGGTTTAGGGTTTAGGGTTTAGGGTTTAGGGTTTATATATACCCCTGGTTCATAAACCCACCTTTAGGGATTAGGGCTTAAGGTGTAGGGTTCTTTTAAAACCCCAATGTGAAGATCCATTACAATCCGTACAATGCGAGAAGGGTCTATTACTTAGGGGTCTACGCTGGACCCTAAACCCTAAACCCCTACGCTCCCAAACAGAAGGACCCGACATAGCGTAGTCAGTAGGTTGCAGGTAGAGTCGCAAATAAGATAACCCCAACTACCATAGATAAAACGCTACTTACTAAGTCCCGAACCTTGAAGCATACACTCTGACGGCTGAATATAAGAACCTTATTGTCTGAATCAAGATCCCTTGAAGCTCCGTTGTTCACTAGTAAAACCAAGCCTAAACCCTAAACCCCAAGCCCCCTGTAAGGCCTTCGTATTATTACTAGGTTCCCCAGTAGCCATCTAACAATAAGGGTACCCTTTTTCCTACTGTTCGGTTTTCATAGGGGAGCACTAAAAAGAAAAAGGGCAAAAGGCTACTACTGGGGAACCTAGATACTCCAGGAGCTCAGGCTTCCCTTTAAGGAACCCTTTAAAGAAACCCTATGAAACCCTGTTCTAATCATTAAGGCCCTAAACCCTAAACC